AGACGAAGCCGAGGCCACCCCTGGCACCCCCTCGACAGAAGTACCCCCCCCCCCCCCCCGGGTCAAAACTTCGCAAGCTGCGTTTTTCAATGTCATCTATACACTCTATTATCCAATCAATCTTGTACGGACCTCTGCTAGCTTCTAACATATATTGAAAATATTTCTTCAAGATTCTCGAAAACTCGAAGATTTCAAAATTCTCAAGGTGGGAAATATATATCCCACTGGGCCTCAAAGGGTTAATATACTTTTTTATTTGAACTAAATGAAAATCACTTTGCATTTTTGTAAGATGCTATTCAATCTTATTAAAAAAGCAATTTAGAAAATAAAAATCCCAATTAATAATCAAATTACCCGCCATCATCAAGTACAAAGACTTCTCCATGTTCATATGGTGAAAAAGTGCCTGCATCAATATTTATATATGGATCAATCTAAATAAAAGAAATTTTTTTAATATTTTTGTAAATTTATTATTTTCAATATACTTTAATTGATGTAACACGAAATCCATGAGAACAAAGTATTGTACCAATACTTGATGATATAATACCTTTTCCAATTCCACTAATAACACCACCAGTAACTAATATATATTTCATTGATGATGATGATAAATTACGATGAAACATAATCTAAAAAATAATCAAAATCAATTTAATCGACCTATTTTTTTTATTACGAATTTTTAATGTATAAAATATTTCATAAAAAAAAATCATTAAAAAAAATATTTGTTTTAAGCGGCTGCTTCATATTTTCCCAACGAAGCAAGACTATTTTGCTAAAAATAAAACAAAATACAATATTGTTTTCTTTCATATGAAGGTTTTTTTTTTTATTACTTTAGCTAAACGAATAAATTCTTTTCGTGCTTGTTCATCATTAGTCTTATCACCTTTCCAAGCACGTAAAACTGATGATTGAAGTGCACGTCCATAACTAAACGATAATATCCATGGTTTACAAAGTTCAACACGATTAATAGCATTCAAATAAATTGTAGAATTTTCTTCATTATGTCCACCTAAATTAAGAAACCAATAACAAAACATTAAACAATTATTTATATTAATTATCGTTACCAGAAAGAAACATTATTCCTGGTACAGCAGCTGGCACTGTTCGACGAAGTGTAACAACAGTTGCTTCTGCAACTTGTTCAACGGAATATTTTTTTGTTGAATGTTTACCTTAAAAAGTATGTAAGATTGAATTATGTTTGATATAGAAGCTTGAAATTAAAACGTTCTTATAGATGTGAGTGTAAGTTGAATAACTTGACAATGGCAATAGTTAGCGACCTGCGGTTTTCAGAAATCTAAAGAACAGCACGGCTCAGCTGTCGCTACCAGAATATTAAAATAAATATGAAGTTTTTGAAAATTTCCGATATCCAGGATCAATTTTCATGACTGTCACCATCCGTAAAGACAAAAATAACTTGTTCGGACTTTGTATAAATAATAGTGATGATGTGTTTAATCGAAAAAGTGATTTTACTATAACTTTTTCCTTAAATAGTTTCAGTCTGTAATCTAATTCAATTTGAGATCAGCTTATTTGAATTAAACAAATTCATGCATTTTAAATCAAAAAGATTCAAAGACAAATCTAAGAATTTTTCAATGTTTCTTAGACTTCCTTACATTTATTGTGTAAATATATGTTCATGAATCAATATTTTTATCTGATCTTTTTTTGCATGCATAGAAAATCTGCTTCCTATTTATCATGTTTTCTGAAATATTTTTACTGCTGAGACGGAACTATTTTGCATCATGTAAATCTTAATGAATTACATATTTTCCTAAAAACAAAGTTCATAATCTCAGTTTGCTTGTGTTAAAATAACAAGCATTAGAACCCTGTGGAGTAAAACATTTTGAATGATATATATACTTCTTTTTGTACTATTATAAATTATTATTCAAGTTAATGATAAAGAATTTAATATGTTTATTTGGATGTGAGTAGACGAAGGGAAAGAGAACACACCTTCAATATACCTTTTCGATTGGTTAATAGGTTAATCTTCGTTTCATTAATCGATTGTTTATGATTTTATTCTTAGCGAGATTAATTTCAAACATCAGAACCATCATGCAAACATATATTTTGACATTAGTAGGGTAAATCGAGTAAAAATGCTTGACTGTTTTAGTGATGTGACTTTGATGAAGTACAGGTCTTGGAGTACAGATTCTAGGGCTCTATCATGTATACGTGATATTTTTAAAACAAACGCATATTTTTCTATCACATACACTGGCAAAGAATAATAGTTGAAACTAGGTATTAATGAAAATAGTGGTAGATATTATGTTAGTTCCTATTCTAAGCGGCAATATTCAGATATTCAAAAAAATAAATTTCTCTCTTGAAAAATAGAATTTAAGAAATTGCTTTCACATCAGTAAGAAAGTTCAGAAGTTACCATAATTTTCGTTAAAACAATCAAAACCGCGTTCTGAAAAATACTTAAAACTCAAAATATATTTCCTAACGTATCAAGAAAGTAGTAATAAATTTCTGCATCTATCGTTACATCACAAGAAAATTTCTAGAAAAATTTCCGAATTCATGATTTCGAGAACGATCAATCCGCAAAAGAAAGCATAAACTAAATTTCAATAATTATTGAGAAACTGCTAGAAAAATTTCAGTGAATATGTAGTGCAGAGCAAGTACCTACCCTTCAAAATATTGATCATTCTAATAATTTCCCGGGTATTACTAGGATATTTTAATATGCATTGAAATTACTATTGTGACTCAACATAAATATCGGTCTACTTTTATATGAAAAAGAATCATACACTCTGAAACGTTAGTAATACTAGTAATTACTTTGCAGTTTTGAAATTACTAAAAAACTTGATTGAATAAAGTAATGACGCACTGCTTTTTTTTTGCTATGTATATGTCAATACACTTTATTATCAACAAAATGACTCGATTTGCACAAGCTTCGCAATTTCTGATTAATTTGTTTTTACTGCATGGTGGGTTTTGGTAAATACTGAAATTTTAGAGGTGATCCGTAAATCTCTTTCTTTAATAGGATTCTTTTGCTGTGTCGGAAATCGACTTTTTTTTTGAAAATCTGAACATATCTCAGTTTGTCATGACTTTATTCGACTCAAAATCAGATCGACATTTAGAAGAACTATTCTTTTCTGAATATTTATAATTTAAAAATCTTGTTTTATTTTTACCTGGAGTAACCATGCTAGGTTTAAGAAGTGTTCCTTCAAGGTAAACATGATGATCATTTAATGCTTTATAAACTGTTGCTAAAACTTTTTCAGTTATACGTTGACATTCTTCAAGATCATGATCACCATCTTGTAATACTTCTGGTTCAACAATAGGTACAAGACCACACTAAAAAATAAATAGAATCATTCGACTAATTTAGACTTCCTTAAAAATATTTCCAAAAAATTAAAAGTTGTGGGTTAGGACAAACATATTGTGCACTTTTTGAATACGGCTTTAGAAATTTGTTGTTAGTTTTATTTCGATAATAGTGGGATAATCTTTAAAGAAAGAATCTCAGATAAGCCAAAACCTATGAATGATGATCAGAATTTTGTGCTCTCTTTGAAAATAGAATCAGAAATATTTTGCCTACTATTGCTCGAGACTAATGAAGGAGTTTTTGAAAAGCTTAAAAAAATTAGACTGAATGATGAATCCATAGGCTTTTACTAACACCCTTAAATTCGCTTTCAAATATGTTAAAAACTATTGTAGTCGATCGTTTTGTCCAGAAGACACTTCTTTACACAATGTTATATTGCACTAAGCTGCAGCTTTTACTAAAATGAAATTATAGGCATTTTGCCAAGAGCTGCTTTCCATGCAAAACTCCTTTAGGTCAAAAATTCGATTTTCAAAGAACCATCTTTTCTAGATGTTAAAATTAAAACAATGTCGAATTGAGCACTGTTGGAGGTGCCTATTCTTTCTTTTGTTTTGAAAAATATTGCATTGTTGATTTTACAAAATGTCAACTCTATGTGACTGACGCAGTGGAGCGATTTTTAGCCTTTTCGATCCAAATATTTCCTAACAGAGAGTATATATGTCTTCAGAAATTTCGATAAGAAGAAAGATCTCATTTAGAATACCATCTGACATATAAGCTGATATATTAATTTTCTTGACGGAACTATTTTTTGAACCTTTCAAAAGATCATCTCATTGGCCTCAAGAAAATTTCTAAGTAAAGATTGAGAACGAGCATCAAATTCTGGTCATAACCTATAGTTTTTTTTATATACCAGAAAGATTTTTAAGATAGTCAAGAATAAACAAACATTTTGTTTCCAAACTTTTGGTCCATTCATTATATACCTGTTGACAAATTGAAGCGTATCGAGCAAGTGTTGATGCATTTTCATTAATAGTTAATTGTGATGGAGCATGATGACTAATTTTAATCACAGCTCGCCATTTAGCAAATTGTGCACCAAGTTTTTTATATTCTCGACATTGTTCTTCCAAACCTACATTAACAAAAAATTAAGTTTTTTTTTTATTTTAATTTTCTTTTACAAATCTTGTGTTATTGTTTCATTATCTGTTCCACCTAATACAACCATACCTTTATCAACTGTAATACCTGTTATAATACCATTGTCTTTTAATAAACGAGGAAATGGTGTATTGTCATCATCAGTTTTATGATGAAATGTTTCATGACATAATATAATATCACTTATATATTGTGAAGATTTTTTTGTACGAAATAATAATTGACGATAATACCGACGAGTTTCTTCATTATTTTCAATATTTACTGGTGAAAAACGTGATTCAATAACATCTAAATTATCTTTTTTTCTTGAATAACAAAACAGTAATTTTTGTATAACAAACCTGCTGGCTCATCTACAGCTAAAATTCCTTTGCCAGATGTAGCTAGACTTTGAGCTATTTGAGCTAATTCAATTTGTTTGTCTTTAGATAAATAACAGGCAGTCATTGATGTTCTTAAATAAAATAAAAAAAAGATATGTAAGTTTTTTTTTTTTTTTTGTATCGAAACATGTTAAAGAAGGTATCTATGTATATGTTTACTAGTGAGATAAAAGAAAGGTTTTAATTTATAAGGCATGATGAAAGAAACAGAATAAACACACAGTCGTACATAGTGACGCGTGTAAATGTTACTGATAAAGTGCTGATGCCTGGATGAAGTTGTATGAAAGAAATATGTTATATCGATTAGAGAAACAGAAAAAAAAAGATTCTATGGTGAGACAAACAAATTCTTGGATATTAAACAGAGAATAGCTCAGCTAAAAAGTAGACCAAAAAAAAAATAAGAAAATGGATTTTTTTCTTCTTAAATCATTTTCAAATATTTAAATGCATTCGTAGAATATTAGAATCAGAATTTTCAGTTCTTTTAAAATATATTTTTAAAATTTTTCTGTGCCTTCCTTTTGACTATTGAGCTATAAGTAGATCTGGTATATTCGAAGATGCAGAAAATAATTCTTTAGAAAACAGTAAATTTATTGTAAAATGTTGAGATGCACTAAAGACTTTTTTATTAAGTCCGATGACTATTTTCCCGATGTTTGCCTTTTTGCAGTGCAAAATGAATCTCCGTCACAACTGTGCCATTTTTTCGGGATTAATCAAAACTCTTTATTCTTACATCATTTTGTAGATTTGTCGTCTACTCAGAAAATTTCCTCTAATCCAATGCATTTTATTATGCGAAAAATAGTTGAATATTATGAAGTTTATTATAAACTACTAGTTTAACAAAAAATCATGTATGTGCACACAAAACAGATGTATATATTTCAGTTGAAATAATATTTCCCTTATCAATAATTAATACAACTTGTTTTTTATTTTCTAAACGTTCTACAGAAACTAACTAATACTTTTGATATAAATTGGAAATTATATATAAAATCAATTTAGAATAGTTACAACTAATTTTAGATAAGAATATGACGAAGGATATTAAAATTAAGGGAGAAATTTTTTTTCGTCACTTGTCTTATCAGTTCAAAATGACATGCATAGTTCAATTTTAAAAATAGTTTTTATGTACATAAATGAAATAGACTGATTCAAAACAGATTTTCTATTTAGAAAAATAGTCCATTTATTTTTTTTATAAATAATATAAATTGACTTACGAGAATTATTCTTGCAATAGAATAAATATAGTATTCTATTTTCATAATAACGATATCATATCGAACTGTATATTTCTTTTAATGTTTAAATGATGAAAATGAACCATCATTAATTCTTGTTGCATTGCCAAATGTAGATTAAATTTTTTTTTTTATATGCATAACTCATTGTGACAAAAATATTCTACTATAATATCGAAGTAGAAGAGCAGCTTTATCGCTCGTACGTAACATTATATTAATATGTTGTTAATCCTCCTTCTACTGGTTTATGATAATTTCGATTTCGTACACATTATTCATATGCTAATAAACTTGAATAAGAATAAATAATATTGATTATCTAATGAATGATGTCGTAATCAATAATCCATCTTTAATTGAATACATATATGTAACTAACAGTCTGTGATATTCGATACAATAATCCTATTCTTCACCAATGTCATTATACTCTTGTGCAGGATTTTCATCAACAATTAGTATGAAACTATTTGAAAATGAATTAATTAAAGGTTGAATATATTTAATCACTTAGCGATATTTACTCAAAAAAGAAAACGACTTAATTATCACACACGAGTAAATTCAACAAGGCTAAAAATCTAACAAAAAAATTGAATTTCAAATCATACATGTGTAAAAATAAAAATAACTAACATACAAGTGATGCAATATAATGAGTATTGTATTACTCATGGAATTTTTTTTTTTGACGTTATATATTACAGTAATTGTTGTAATGTTAAAATACATTACATTTGCCTTTATTCTCGTTTGATATTCATTTTTGTCTAGAAAATAGATATTAATAAATATATTTAGAAAATTTAAAGAAAACAAATCATAAGCAATAATTGAACATGATTGATTATTATAAAAATAATTAATAAGCACATTAATATTGTTAACAGTTTCTCAAAGAATTCCTTCTCACAATATACACCAATGTTTACTAAATTTTAATTCTATGAGAAATATTTAATTAATTGTTTTTATTAAATTATATCTTCTTATGAAGATGTTCAATGTATGATTCATTCTTTCAAGAGATCAAGAAAGTCTATTTTTCAATTCTGATACATATATTTTTATTATTTAAACTACATTAATATACTACATAACATATCCCAATGTTATTTTCATATTAGACACATACTTTTATCTAAATTTAAATTATAATCATAACGTATTCTTAATCATTCTAATATATATTAAGCAAAGGTATCCCGAGTGAACTTTCAGCGTTGTTTATCAACAATGCTCGACCCCTTTTTCTTTTCAAATTCAGCCCACTGTAGCAAAAGCATAGGTCATCGACCCGTGTCCCTCTGCTATTCTGGCGACCTCAGTATACTTCTACTCTTTAGATTATATCGATTTTGGAGTTTTATTTAGATTATGTCTCGCAATTAGTCAATATTGACGATGTATGCAATCAATCAACAATTGATATTAGAAATTCTTTCTCATTGGTTTTATCATCGATCGGTACTAAGTAGTTTACTTTAGACATAGCGTCCTCACCCTCACGCAGTGCTGTGCGTGCTAATTAAATCTCTTGTATGTTTAAAGTAAACTAGGACTCTTTCTTTTGTTTAATATCATTTTGTTTTATTTAGGTATGAAGTTATTCATCAGTTGCGTGATCACTGTGAATAGTTTCAAACATATCGTTCACGTCGCAACAGTATAATCTAGGCATAGGAATTATTAATGTATGTTAAGAGTTAACTTCTGAAAATTTAGTTTATCTTATAGCGTTATCCTATTTACTTCATACAGAAATAAACTTTTTGACGAATCAATGTTGTTTACAAAAGTTTTGTAATTAAAGAAAAACAATCTTTTTAAAGCTAAGTTTTCGATTAAGATGCAATAAGTCAAACAACGATGAAAAAAAAAGAACATTGAGAAAATAATCTAGGACGAAGATTATGACACGATTTACGATTAGGCCTTTTTAATCTAACAATCAGCAAACTATAGACGATTAAAAAAGAAAGTACATGTTTCTTTTATGGACGCGAGAAGTTCATTTGATTGAGCGCAAAACCTCTGCATCAGGTCAATCTTCTGTCCAGAGCTACAGCTAGCATTTGCTGTGGGGAATATATCAGGATAATGAATGTTTTGCTAGACAGTATTCTATACCGCATGATACTCAAAAGCCAGTGGTATTCTTATTTTATTTAATATGAAATTTATTTGATTATCAGATTGTTAGTAAGATATATATCGAGATATTTCAGTAGATTAGCTTATTCAATAATAAAAAAATAATGTTTTTTGTTTTTGTAGTGACTATTTTTTGTTTAGTTATATGTCAATTTTCCAAGATAATTATTTCCGTTAGATTTTAATCATCTATAAAATTTGAATTAAGCATAATTGTATCTAAAATATCCAAAAAACCTGTGTATATCGTTTCCAAATATCTTCTATTTGGCTCCGTCATTTCTTGCATCACTTGGTGCTTTAGGTTATGTTGGATATGCCTTATTACAGAACAAACCTGTTTCATCATCTCCTAATGTTTCATTTTTACATCTTATTGGTGTTGCTGGTGGATTTGGTATTAGTTTTTGGATGACAACTGCTCATGGTAGAAATAATTCATTTAATTTCTATAATTTAAGCATCACATTTAGGTCGTGCTGTTCAACGTATATTAACACGTCAAGAATTTGCAACAGTACAATCACATCTATCCGATGTTTATTTTTCGTCATCAGCGGTTTTAGCTAGTATAAGTTTAGGAACATTTTTACTTCGTCATCCTTTGAAAACATGGTCAAGAGAAGCAAAAGATTTAGTTTGTATTATAAAGAAGAAAAAAACACTCATATTACAATAATATTATTTCAATAGGGCATTGCATTATTTGTTGCATTAGCTGCAGCTGAAGTCAATAGTCTTGTTCTTAATCCATTGGTTACAAATTTAATGTTTGATCGAAATAATATTGAATTTTTACAAGCAGCTAAAGTATAAAATATGTTTTTTTTTTCGTTTAATTATTTAATAAATAATTTTCTATTGATTTCATAGACAAGTGATGATATTGAACGATTAATTCGTAATGATTCAAAATATCGTGTTGTGAACAATAAATTTAATTTATGTCATTCGATGTCAATGGTTTCAGGTTTTATTTATCATGGTATTCAATGGTATCATCTATTCTTTCTTGCTGACAAATGTCTTGTGCTTTGAAAAAAAAACATCCCTATTTTTTGTAGATGTTTAGCGTTATGATAAAAGAATAAAAAACAAATTCGTGAATTTTTTTTTCTTAAATAAAGCATTTAATAAAAAGATATCTTTGTTGTTTTTTTTTACAGATAAATGACTGAGAGTATTGAAGATTCATCATCAAGTAGTGATGAAACATTAGTTAACGAAGAAGATATAAATAAATTTACATCAACATTAGATCAATTTACACCTGCTATACCAGAAACAGTAACAAGATATTATATGAGACAATGTGGAATACAAACAGATGATGATCGAGTTGTTAAATTACTTTCTGTTTCTATACAAAAATTTATGACAGGTATTTAAGATGAGAAGAAAATTGAAACAAAAAAAATTTTTTTTTAATTTTTTTGTAAGATATTATTCATGATTGTTTTCAATTACATAAAATACGTGAAAAATCCACTAATCGACCGGCACCAACGGCAGCGGTTGTTACAAATGCTCAACCTCCAACAGTTGAAGCAACAGCTACAACTACTGATCAATTGACAAATGCAGCAACTGGTGGGAAAAAACCAATAACATCAACAAATCAAACTTTATCACTTAATGAATTAACACATGTTCTTGGAGAATATGGAATTAATGTTAAAAAAACATTTTATTACACATAATGTAAATAGAAAGAAAATAAATTTTCTTGTGTATATGTAAAATCTTTTTCTTTTTGATGATATAATAAAAAAAAAGAAATAAATTATTAAAATTAAATTTAAAGTTGCTGCATTAGCTTCCATAAAAAATTCGGAAGTTTTGAATTAAGCCTCTTCGAGATATGAGTCTTGTAAGAGATAGACTCTTATCCAACAACATGCATTTGTTGAAAGTCTTGAATCTTGAAGAGATTTTCTTCAACACTTCGGATTTTTTTAATTAGAACCAATCTAATTGAGTTTTGTACATGCGCAAACTTTCAGATCAAAAGCCTGAGGAGATTCTTTTCTTAGAGGAAACTATTTCAGAATTTATTCCAATGAAGTCTTTGATACTTATATTTTGATTAATTCAGTCAATGAATATAACTGTTTTTTTTTTGTTTCTAGTTATCTCTTCAGAATTTTGCTATGATTGATTATACAATTTGCCACAAACCATAGAAAATTTAACTAGAATTTTTAGCACTGTTTCAAATAACTTTTTTTCTTCATAGTTCGGGTCACCAGAACTAAAACTGATTTCGCACATGTGTAGTAATAAATAAATGGTTAATTTAATGGATATTGATTCAGTAAAAGCACATCTTACTCATGTTCTTCAAAAATAGAATCAATTGAGACTCAGCTGAAGTCTAATTAAACCTATTCCATTCATAAATCTGTGTTTTGTTTTAGGATGAGTGTCATTTACATTAAGATTTCGAATTAAATTAAACGACGGTCGTTTAATGCCAATATTTGGTTTAGACTTGTATCAAGCAGCATCAACATTAAAAACTATTCAGATGATGAATTGATGCCATTCGCCGTGGTTATCCATTAATTCATACCGTTGAATTATATTGAAACAAATCTCAAGTAGATGAAACTGTAAAAAGAACTATTAATCGTGAACAAATATTTATTACAAAAAAACTTTTTCGCACTGATGATGGTCGTCAAGATCTTCGAAGATCATTTAATCATTCTCTTCATAAGGTTTGCAGCAGTCTATATCTCGAAACCAGGAATTTTTATAAAAGTCAGGACATAATAAGACTTATTATGATAGTGTTGTCCAGGGTGAAACCTGCATAATAGTTAATCAATTAATAATAGCTCATTGAAATTACGACAAACATTTCTTTCGATAACAGTCAAGACTGATCAAATAAAAAGCAATAATGGATATTTGCTTCTGAAAACTGTGCTCCTTGAATTCAACATTTCAAAATGCCGAAAGATACAGTGTTGAGGTTGTGTGTGGGTCCGCTTGAAGAGACAATTCATACTTTACAGTCACATATACGACCACACCTACACCACATCCTCCTTCATCGGTAGATAAGAAATTGTGGGAAATGAGTCTGACGTTGTTCTCATCGGTTGCTGGGATCTGTAAATGGGGATGAGAAGGGTTTGGTAGTCAAAAAGATGACTTAAAACTTACATTCACTATTTTCTTCGAAAATATAAGTGAGTTCCACAAAATTGAAAATTGAAATAAGCGACTAACTTGTTCGAATTTTGCTTGTACCTTTTATTCAAGATTAACTAATTTTTCATGCATCATAAAGGTGTCTAGATAGGTATATTTTATAACAGAGAAACATTTTCGATATGATATGCCTTTTTTGATAATGTATGGTGGTTGGCCGAGAGTAGAGTCCATCGGGTCCAAGAATTTCTGAACTGGGACCCGATTGATTAATCTTTCGTTGGTACAGACTTGAACCTTACTCTTAAAACTCTAAGTTCAATGTTCTAATCCAAATTTGACTGTCGCTTCGAAGATACAATATAGTTTTTTTTTTAATTTTTTTCTGTTCGGTGAGTAGCATACTCTGAATATTTTCTAAAGGACCTGATTGTGGTCTCATAATAATAAAATTACAAGTAGTTCGTACTCCTAGTCAATAGTTCCTGATGGAAAAAAGCATGTATACATTACAAAGACTTTATATTATTTGTTTCATTTAACAAATACTTGCTGATTTAATAAAAAGTTATGATAAGTCAAACACATTTTACAATCCAAAAATGTTCCATTAGTTTTATACAGATATTTAGAGGTTTTTGAATAAAACGAACAGAATTCTCAAGAATCAGTAAACATTTCAGACCCGAATCCGATGTGGTCTACTGGCAACCCTGATTGTATTGAAGATACGTTCATCAATGTTGTTTTTTCTTTGTAGCGATACGATTGTCGGTGAACATTTTTTCGGCATATGGAGACATTTGACATCTAGAACTAGTCTATATTCCTATTCTTAAACCTGGCAAGCCTCCTAGGAAGATGTAACACAAAAAAGCACATATTTTTATAGTGTCAAACGGAGTTTCGTATGTAAATAATTAATTGATCTGTAAGTTTCATGTAAAATCTCTGACATAAGTTGATGAATTTGCCCAAGACTGTTTTAGAATATCTGTTTAATAGTACCTACTGAATCACTAGAAAATTTCTATTCTAGGAAGTAATTAGAAAATTCCGGTTGACGCATTTTCTCAAAACGGCGCAATTATCTTAATACTATTCTAAAATAATTGTTTTAGTTGAAATCTTAAGAACAATGGTAGGTCGTTGAATCTTTGAAATATTTGTCACTCTAATAGAGCTGCTTTAAAAGGTTTATATGGCTCTATTTTTCTTTTCGTAAATATATCCTCTAACCTGAAGTTTTCGTGAAATACAATGAAAGCATTGTGTGTAGGTTTTTGTCGAGCAAAAAATTGATATCATCATTTTTGCTTGAGTTCATCGCCTCAGTGATATTTAGAGTTATTTTAGACACAAATTTTGTCGATTTAAAGTATTCTTCATCCAACAGTATTACGAGTTTGTAAATGGTTCATTTACAAAAGCAACTAGAGAAATATAAAGATGAAACCTAGGTTGGAAGTTATTGTTTTTTTATGAAACGGTCCTAAATGATATAGCGAAATTGCCTTTTATTATATTTATTAAGGGAATCTTCCTTTTTTCAACTATAAGTGTACCATTTAAGTTCCTTCCCTGTCAAAGAAAGTCAATTTTTGTCAAATACATAAAAATTGAGAGAAATGCATAGAGAGATAATCCAATGTCTGATCTTTCATGCATGACATGACTTTTTATTTGGCTTCTCATTTTGTCAAATACTTTCACCATGTTCGTATTGAAAAATATGCTTTAAGAATGTTCCATAAGTATCGGCCCATTTTTATTTTATTTTCATCTTTGCTATGTTTATAGGTGAATGAGTATTGATAATATATTTTTTAAGAGTAGCTTCTGAGTTATGATTCAAGAGAAATTGAACTCAACTGCCATCAACTCACAGATAGTACTACATTGGTAAAAATATCGAAAAAAAATTATCAAGATTATTTTTTCGACGTGATCGAACGTTACGAAATTTCAATTTTTTTCATCTTTAGTGAGTTGTATCTCCGCAAAGACAAAATTAAAGACTCTGAAATTTTTCATGTAAATGAACTGCAGTTATTATCTAATATCCATCAAAATTTCATCCATTTTTGATTCAGCCAAAGTAGAGTTATTCTCGAAATACTGACGGTTATAAAACGTCAGCTGTTTAAGATTCCATAGTTAAAACTATTTCAAGATTGAAAATTTCAGAGTCTTTGATTTTATCTTGGGGGCAATACAGCTCACCAAACATGAAAAAAAATTGAAATTTCGTATGCTTAGAAATTACTCTTCAAAAATTCTGTAACTGATTGAGTCGAACAGTTCGTTTGAGAGAAATTCATGAAATTAGTCATTTTGTTTTGCTACAAAAAGCAGAGTGTTTAGCGCAAAAATAAATAAAAGAATTTGGCTGGAAATCTATTTTAAATGTCACAAGAATCTTAGAAGAAAAACCGTCTGAAAACTGTTCCGTAACTTTAATGGCAACTTTTTTATCCAAATATATTTGTTTCAGCACTTTCATTATCCGTTTTCGAGCATCGTGTATTTACAGTTGTTTATTAGAACGAAGCTTTTTGTATAGTATTAAAATAATTGATCTAGCATATAGGAGAATAAACAACAAACCATTCGGTTAAAAAAACTAACTTGATAAATTTCGAAGTTTACGGCGCAAAGATTTTTCTTTGCCGGATATCTCACGGAGAATCTGTTTTCTTATTCTAGATAATATCATGTGGTAGGAGAATCAATAAGTTTTCTTTTTCATAGAAAATATATAGCTTCTGGCAACCTCTCTCTTGAAATAGATTTTAATTTTTTCAACTGTAATAGATAGCGACGAAAAACGTTTGGTATGAGACAGTATTACAAAAGTCTTTATTTCGACCAGTATAAAACATGTAAAGAGTTTCTTCTTTTTTGTATGGCAANATACTGTTACTGTTGATATCTCCAATTGTCTCACATGTAACTCTTTATCATACATCGGAAACGATTTATCGACAGGCTCATACCTGCTTCTATTACACAAATATCAGTTCTGGCATCCAGTCCGTTCCATACTGTATTCAACCAACGTCATTATTACTAAGCAATAACACGACGAATAGATCTGACTGTTCTAATACCAGTATGCGGCACACATTTTATGAATTATTTCAACTCGGTTATAATGCCACTGATCTTCTAAAATGGTATGTGCCCATAGATGATGTGGAGCAATATGCTGCATATCAGGCCAATAATTCGAATAATATGTCCAATTTAAATGATAATTTTATCTGTAACTGTTCACATCCATCCATATTTGGTCGCTATTGTGAATACCAATTGTATCAGGGTGAAACAATTTCTGAAGCTATTGAAAGACAATTTCGTCATCGACAAACAAATATGTTTGGCAGTCAAATGCATGAAAGACGATCATGTTATACAACGCTTGACACATGTGATTCTGGTCTACTTTGTTTGGATTGGCGACAAATATGTGATGGTGAACAAAATTGTATTTACGGTATAGACGAGGACAATTGTGATAAACTTGAATTTAATGAATGCGAAGAAAATGAATATCGCTGTGCCAATGGAATGTGTATACCAGGAGAATATTTTCTTGATGGCAAGTGAATCAATTAATATCTTGTTCTATAACATATAGAACGTGAACGCATTATATGATTTCTATGCGTTTAGCAATACTTATTTTTGTGAAGTGTGAAGCCTTCAGTAGATGAAACCGTTACCGTTTAGACAGGTTATCGTCACCATTGCATCTCTGCTTATGTTCAATCCCACGAAGAAATTTTTATCTAGCAGCTTAGAATCATCAGCTTTTTGCTATTCGTACTGGAAATTTTTCGTCTCTAGCAATATTTTGACTTTCGACTTGTTTCGATATCGTTGATATGAATATGAATGAAAATCGTACATAAAGGATGAATATATCGAAAAGTGTTACTCTCTCTATCTGAAGTTCTTCAAATTATATTAAGTTTGATTCATTTTGTTGAAATCAAATTAATGAACTATAGATTATGTAGTAGCGCATCATCAAATGAGGATAATTGCATACGCTTAATTTTTTTTTTGAGAAACTTTTATCAAGATCACTCATCTACCTCTTCTTTACTTATTGAAGGTGAAAAAGATTGCATGGATTGGACGGATGAAATTGAGACTGGGATATATCATGATTCATATACATGTTCATGGTCACCAAGTTTCTACTGTCATGAACATTTGTGTCGACGACATTATTGGACATGTGGCGACGGTCAATGTTTGCCACAAGGAACGAATCGTTTTAGAGCAATATGGAATCAAAATATTCCATTAACTTGCCTGAATTTACGTGACATTAATTTTATATGTGAAGTAAATAGAAGGCATCGATTATGGACAATTCAAAGTGGATTTTGCCTACCTTTTGAACAAATATCCTACGATGATCGACCAAATGAATTAATCAATGATATACAATATTGTACTTTTCTGCTTAAATGTCTTTTGTCCGTTGATATAAATATCGATTGTCCATGTTCAAATCTCAGTAGAGATTGTATCAAAAAATTTGAATTCGAATGCCGGAAATTTCATTACGTTGAATATCCGTCAGGTCCATTGATAAATCCATTCATGTGGACAGTCTATGACGTTTATAAATCATTTCGATTCGATGGTGTGCCAGACTACTTCTATTTCAATGGCAGTATTAAATGTAAGTAAAATTAAGTATTAAACCTAATGAAAAACAAAACTATTATCAGCTGAAAACCAAATTCGAATATAAACCAATTGTAATCAATAGTACAATTACAGTTTTAATACTTTAGACATTAGTAGCCTCAGTGTAATTGCATTATGAAAGTTTTCAGAAAAAAAAAGCTTAGAAAAAATCGAGTTTTGTTGTTTTCTTCTATTTTTCGTTTTCAAATCCTAAGTGAAATAGATGATAGGAATCGATAGAGCAAAATAATCGAACCAAAGAGTTTTAGCATATTTTAAGTGCTTTTACGATTTTAAAAGTTGAGACATAATATTGAGCTCACATTTTATAGATTTTCAGCTCAAAATTCTGAAAACTAGGCATATTTGCATGTAAATACACTCATTAAAGTTCCTAGTTTTTAGAAAGATTAATTGATTTAGGGAAGATCTTCTATTGTGGAGGGGATTTAGAATTAAAATTCATAATAATCGATCGAGCATTGTAGTTGAATGGCAATAACCAATACAGTTTCTTTTCTCAAAAATTTCGATTTCAATCAAGCCTAAATGATTTCTGTTTCCAATTCTACGATTCTGATTAATTTCAAGTCAAGAACTGTAAACCATACATCTACAGTAAAAACAGAACTTTTTTTTTGCAAATTTGTAAAACATGATTGTGTTTATGAGAGGAGTGTATATGTACAGAGAAACGTTAGATTTCTGTTCATAGATCAACAGCCAACTTTAGAGGTAATTTTTCACCGAAATGTATTTTACAAGCAAGCCTTGCTTATAGACTCCCTATTGAAATTTCTTCCTTCCCTATCTAAAGGTACATGGACAAAAGTTTTCTTTCGAAGATTCTGCTCGATTTTCGATAGAAATACTCGCTAAGAATACCTTGAAAATTACTAAATATCATGTTTACAGTCAGGTTTCCGAGCTTAAGACCTTTCGCTCTTCCTTAAAAATCGTGACCAATGCAATGAATAACTCTTATTTATTATCGGTGTGCTCTATTGCCTTGAAAGCATTTTTTTAATAAAATTCAATAGAATTACCTATATGATCTTGGGAAATACTTTCAGGTCGTGATTATCAAAGTACATGGATGGGTATGGAACATAGACGTCTTGAGTACGACGATTATGTTTTTCTCGCCGGTATGATATCTTTTCCAAATTTATTTTGTTCTGCTAAGACAGATATAGTGTCAAACACAAGCTTTATTAAACGTGATTATTCATCGAATGCACGAAAAATGCATCCCTATTGTTGGAACGACACAAGAACATTTGACAATAGATTATATCAAACATCGCCAGATATTTGCCAGGATACTGAATGCATTTCATCATATCGCTTAAAAGATGGATCTCCAGACTGTGAACTATGGGCTGATGAATGGAACTATGTTCGAAGCTCATGTGAATCAAACCGTCAGTATCGTTTTCAATGTTTAGAAGATCAAGAAACATGTCTATTAGCAAGTGAAACTTATAATCTTCGTTCTAATTGTTCGAATACTATTCAGTATGGACTATCAATTAGGACGTTGAATTGTCAAAAACGGCATGATCTAGATTGTCAAATTTTGAAGCATTTTATTGCAATATCATCTACTAAAAATCAATCATTGTTATCTAACTTGCCTCAGAATGATGTAATGCTGGGTTTCAGTAAGGTTCCCGTTTTTCACCAATATTGTGATACTTTCTTCGATCTTAGTATTGACATGGATGAATCACGTGAATTATGTCAAAACTGGATATGTGCTAAAGAACAATATCAATGTGCGACAGGACAGTGTATTCCTACTGAATGGATTTGCGATGGTGAGTATTTCACAAAAAGAAATTAATCAAGAGAATATTGTTGGCTTTTAATTCTATTAGTGTATAATTATTCAATTTTATGAAAATTTCGGTGATATTCTAATCGTTATAATTCCGCTTAGATAGATCAGTTCTGAAATTCTTGAATAGACAATGTAATATATCAGCCGAATCGAGAGTTAAATATTTTATCAAAAATATTTTTTGTCGTCTAAACTCTAATTTGCTCTGCTTTCGAGAGTATCTGAAGAATATTTCAAAGAACATTTTTTTAATAACTTTTAGCTGCGTTCACACGAACTAAAAACTGACGACAACTAATGCTCTTATTTCTTCAGCATACTATGTTCGATTGGGCTGAAACTTTTTAACATATACTAAATGATACTGAATAAAGGAAACTCTTTACAATTTTTTTTTCTATGGAATTTTGAACATTCAAAAGATTTTTTTTCTGTTGAGATTTTACACATCATCATTTTTCTCGTTTGAGACCCAAGTCTGAAAATGAACTAACCACGAAAGTTTCGATCCATTTCGAACTGTGGTCTGTTGGTCTCTTACTACGTAATCTAAACAGCCACGAATAATTAGTTTTCTCTTTGTAGGTCAATGGGATTGTAGTGATGCATCGGATGAACAAAATTTTGCTAGGTTTTATATGGATCTAGACGAGCACAATATCATGTTGATCAACAAAAGTCACTGGACAGAATTGAAACAAAACTGCACGAATATATATAAAAATACCACTCAACCGTTTTCAAATAAATGCAATATTGAACTTGAATATCCATGTTTATTGGCCCATGTTGATGAACCATGGAACTTTGATAAACATCGTCCGTGTATTAATCTTTCTCGCATAGGGGATGGCAATAGTGATTGTTATTATTCAGACGATGAACGGAATACACTACGGTGTTTAGGTAATGAGACGATGATGGGTTTCAATTTTCTATGTCAAACATCTCAGATATGTCTTGATTATCATTTACTGTGTAACAACAAAGACCAATGTCAACACGGTGAAGATGATATTTTTTGTCATTTCAGACTACGTCCATCGAATATTTCGTGTAGTGGATTAAATGATCATTTATGTTTCAATGATACATGTATACTAAATGGTCGATGCAATGGAATTGTCGAATGCCCTAATGGTGAAGATGAATATTGGTGTTCATCTGATAAGCCGCCATTTTTCCAGTCTCTATATCGAAATAAGAAAGTAATAGAAATGCGAAAACCGAAAATGATTACACATTTGTTTTATCCAATGAAACAAGAGTCAATAGAAGTTCGTAATACTAATGAAATAAAACAAAGTTTATTTCCAACAATAAAAAAACGAAATTCAAATTATACTTATAAAGATGAAATTTTTTTTCGATTTCAATCTGAACCTGAAAACTATTATTGGCCATTTGTTTGTGGTAATGATGGATTAGCTGTAAAATATCAACAAGAAGTAATATGCTTTTGCCCACCAAGTTCATATGGCGATTATTGTGAATATTCAAGTGATCGTATAACAATTTTAACACATTTGAATTTTGTTAATTATAAAATAGATAATCGAATAATTATCAAAGTATTAATAACATTTCTATTTAAAAATCGAACCATTGATATACATACATTTTATGTTCAACCACAATTACAAAATAATGATATTGATTATGTTAAACAAAAAATTTATTTTGTTTATCCACGTACAAAAGAATTTATTCAGCAAAAACGAACATATCGAAATGGTACACAAATGTATCATGCACGTTTTGAAGTATTCATTTTAAATAATTCAAATCTTATATTAATTGATGTATGGGATTATCCAATTTATTTTGATTTTTTACCTGCGTATCGTTTAGCAAAAATTTTAAAGTTGAATTCATCCCTAAATAATAATAATAATAATAATTGTTCGTTATGTGGAGATCATGGTACCTGTTATACAATTGTTAATAATAATAAATCAATTTATTGTAATTGTGAAAGTGGTTGGTATGGTGAATATTGTGAACATTCTAATAAAGAACAATGTCAACAGACATGCTCGTCAAATTCTATTTGTCGTCCAAACCAACGTGGCATTCTAAATAATGGCGAACAAAATCCGTATTGTCTATGTTTGCCTGGTTATTACGGATCGAATTGCTATTTTAAATATGAGCAATGTGAAAAAAATCCATGTAAGAATGATGGTACCTGTTTCATTGATTATGCATTAGATGATATTCATCATATCAAGTGTCTATGCAGTCATCAGTTTTACGGAGATCAATGTGAATTGTCTAAACATAACATACATATTCAATTAAAACGAAGCAATCAACCGTCAGATGTTATACAAGCAACTGTCGTGCAATATTATGATTTGCAAGAATTAACATTCGATATGCTTATTCGTCAACAAAAGTTGTATAAAGGACATTTACCATCCATAGTTCAACTTAATCATGATCAATTATTTGCTCCAGAAATATGTTTGATTAAAATCTACTACATTGAACAACAACAGAAATTCCCCGACTATTATATTGTCTATAGCCAACAAAATCGAACTGTTATCAATATAACTATAGCATTGGCACAAGAAAATCAATGTCGTAACGCAATGACTGTATTGCAAGGTTAGTCTCTTATGTCACTAGGAATATGTTATAAACAAGAACCAGGCATCCAGTTTTTATGATACTCAATATAAAGTTTTCAGAACAACTTCTACAGCATTGAACCTTGAAATAAGATGAAGCTACTACAATAATAGACAAAAGCTCTTCGTTATATCTATCACGCTCGTTGAAAAGAAGAAATAATGACTCCAAATCATGAATCTGAATTTGAATGAAAGATTTTATAGGCCTTGAAATTCTACTAAATCTTCGAAAAAAAAATCTCTACTAATGTGTCTTTAGAATGTTATGTATCCATAATGGAATTGAAGTCCAACTTTCTTGCTTAGCACGTTGACACTCATTTCCAATAGTGTTTTATAAAATAGCATAAGATTTTTTGTTCCATGTCATTTTCTTTTTGGCGATCTGACTGTAGAAGAGTGAGTATAAGATTCAATATGATCTTTCAACCTGCATCTATCCGTGCAATTTAGAAGCGTCAGCATAAGAATTCTCAGAACAAATCACTAGCAGCATACCAATATGTTTTGTCGGTAGAAGTGCAGAATCTGTCTGCATGTGTCAACGCATGTTTGGGGAGTCTGCTTTACATAGAGATGTTTGCTTGAAAATGTTGGGTCTCTACGAATTCTTCGATTTATTTTAAGACTAATTCTGCATTTCTGCTTGTTGGATACTAGAATAAATATTCGAAAAGTAATAGATGTTGAAGAAAAATGTTTGAAGGCGGGTGCAAAGTGAGAGTAAAATTATTATAAAAACACTAAAAAAGAATGCTAGGATCAAACCAAAACAGGCGATTGGCAATGAAAAAAACAGATACATCCATATATTAACAATTGAAGAAGAGCGAAGAGTGCCAAGAATAAGAAAACAAATTATGAGAGATTGCAATTACAGAACATTATGAGCAGTTTTCGGCGCAGAGTGTCCTCGTTTCATAAAGATGTGGGCATGGGTGAATGAAAGATTCATGCCCACACTCTAGATCAGTGTCCATTTTTAGTCATGGAAAGAATTCAGATCTCGTATGATTTGGTGACGTCAGCTTAGCCGCTCCTCTTTCAATGCAACTTGTACTATCAACAAATAGTTCAAAATAGTCATGTTGAATGTAGACTCTCAACATTTGAATTTTTCTACACAGTAGGATTCATTTATGGTCCATGGATATACAAGTCATTATTGGGTAACTAAGCTAAAGTCATATGAGATTAAATGATGAAAGATAGATATTTGTAGACGTGTGGTCAAGTCCCTTTTCTCCATTGAGTTTCAGTTATTTTTCCGGAAACGATCACGAATAGAGATAATGATATTGCATTCATTAATACTGAGCTCTGTTGTCCGTCTACTTACGCTTCGTTGAAACGAATTAATATGGAGGCGTAGTAACTCTAGAAATTTTGAAAAACAAGTAATGTCTCTTCATGCGAATCTATAGAGTATTGCTACACTTTAATTTGAACTGTAGTATTTTCTAACTACTTAGTACTTTGGATTCACATTAGATGAATCTCAGTGTAAAGAGCATGATTAGAAGTATGAATACGATATTTAGAGAATGAAACTACGGTTAGTTCTCGTGCATCTGTGTTCTATTATCATCGATTATGTCGTCCACGAAATAATCGCACATTGATCTGTTTTCATGATGATAACTACTTTTGTTTATGCAATGAGCAAAGCCGAGCTGACTGTTTTCGTTTCAATCCGAATATTAATTCATGCTCTCGGTGTCTATCGAATAGCCGATGTATTTTGGGAGATCTACAGAATTCAACTGATTTCGTTTGTCTATGTCCACGCTGTTACTATGGCCAACTATGTCAGTACAGCATGAAATTAATGAGTTTTACACTAGAATCACTTATCATCAAAGATATGTCGAATGAACGAAACAAATCAATATCAATTGGTCTTTATTTGAGCATCATCGTACTTTTGTTTCTATTGGGGTGTGTCAACAATGCTTTAAGTCTATTGATATTTAAACGACCTGCACCTCGTAAATTGTCAGTAGGAAATTCTTTATTGATTAATAGTGTTATTAGTCAATGTTCACTGTTTGCATTATTCATCAAAATCATTCACATTATATTGAGTTCAACTGGTATGCTCTTAAATGATATATTTAATCTTGCTCTTTGCAAAATCATTTCATATCTTCTGACTGTATTTACGAGAATAAGTTATTGGTTAACTAGCTGGATAACAATACAGCGTCTCGGCCTAGTTCTATATCCGACAAATGCCTTAATGAAAAAACCTAAAATGACTTTTATCTGCTCGACCGTTATTGGTCTAGTGGTATGTAGTATGCATCTTCATGAATTGTTGTTTTATACCGTCATTAATGATCCAAAAGATGATCAGGTTACACTCTGTGTAACGAATTACACAAATCAAGCATGGCCAATCTACAATCAAATATCAGTTCTCATTCATTATCTTGTACCGTGCTCTATTCAGTTTGTGTCTATTACCATTCTTATTGTAACTACTGCTCGTCATCGTGCACTTGTTGTAACAAACCGAACGTATCAAGAAATATTTGTGAAACAATTTAAAGCAAGCAAAGAGTTATTCATAACACCACTTATCATACTTCTCAGTGCATTACCTCAAGCTATTATTGCATTCAGTCTTGCATGCATTGAACTCAATCAATCATGGCAACGATATATTCTATTATCAGCCTATTTTCTCTCTTATTCACCTCAATTACTTGGCTTTGTTTTATTTGTGTTGCCTTCTTCAGCATACAAGGAAGAATTTTATAAAACAAAATTAGCAAAAATATTTTCTCGAACAAACTACAAATAATCAACATTCACTGCGCTATTCCTGCTTTGTAAATACTACTAGCTTGTTGCTTTTTATGTGCCTCTGTTAATAAATAAAATACTCTATAACCACAGTAGTCAACATTTTCCTGCATAAGAGTATGAATCCAACGCTCATGTATCCGGTGGAAGTTCGTACAGGTTCGGATGATAAATTCACTTGTGACATACATTGATTACGTACTAATATTGGAAAATAAAAAGATTCTCGTGAAATTCAATATAAATGATGCATGTGATTATGGGTGTGGGTGGGTGTGGGGTGTGGGTGTGGGTGCGGGGGTGGGTGTGGGTGTGCGATGTGGGTGTGGGTAGGGGTGG